CCATGGCAAAATACGTTTTTACAAGGGCACCTTCATCGCCAACCGCTTTACTGTCCAAGGAACAGTTTTTGTCCTGTCTCGAAAATGGTGTATACTGTAGAATGCCTTTTCGTCCCGGTCAATTACGAAGTCATTCTTGGTCCTCCTTTATTGCCTCATCAGACCCTCCATAGCTGAACTCGTTATGGAGGTACGGAGGGCGAATCTTATCCCTGTTTATTTGAGCGATCTCTTCGAGCGGTCGTGCTGTATCGGGAAAGGAAGGAAAGGCAAGGAAACAGGCTCATCATGTTACAATTTTCAGCGCAAAGGTATCGGCGAGTAGCTTATCAGTGTCTGATATTGAGGATGAGATACTCTTGGTAGTCAGCCAAATTATGTTTAAGTAAAAAAAAGCCTCATTTATCACAGGCGACCCCAAACCAGGCTGCCAACTGATTCCCACTCCCTTGAATGAGAGATTTTTCCAGGCCATCATACAGAATGGCAATCTCACCCACTAACTCTTCGCACAAGCATGTATGGATACTCCTGCTAGTAGACGAAGCACACAAATCAGTCAGCACATACATAGGCAAAGATCCCATCCCTGAATCCTTCTGCGACTCCAGGTTGGAACTGATGGCTTTGGTTTACGATTTACCTTCCACATTACCTTCTGGCGAAATTACCTACCACCCGATTGGCAACATCCGAAGATTGTTATCGACTGTTATCCAGCTTTTATTGATAGGTTTAGCCATTATCACTTACGAACCGTCCGTAGAAGGATTGAATCACAATACCTCAGCAGGAGCCACTTTCGCTGCTGCACCGGCTTCCATAACAAATATGTCGACCTCTTCGAGTACCGTTAACACTATAAAATGAGTACGGAAGTATCAGTCTCAGAGTAAATATTTACGAATAGATCAATGATATGGGTTTTCCTCCAGAACAGATCACTGATGAGGAATCGCGCAAGATTTACACTTTTTCAATGAATGCTGTCAAACCAACAACTAGCGACTGAAGTTCCAGAAGCCTTACCAGGGAGGGGCAGTCTACTTGCCGTAGGATTTTGAATGGTACCCAGATAAATGGGTAGAATTTTGGATGCTGTTTACGAAAATAGGAATTAAAACTGCAAAATGGTTTCCCTTTAAAAGTTATGAGAGCTCGAAATTTGCTTGACAAAAGTATCAAATGGATATGCGAACTATTCGCTTCGATATCAAGCACCCTCGGTGCGTAGTGGTACTGGCCTCGCTTCATGGGATGCCGGTTTGTTACCCAACATTTCCGGCATTTTTGCGAAGTGTTTTTTTAATTTCATGGAGGATGTCTAGACCTTTTGTGACATTTGTTCAAGTGAACGCCTTATTTCTGCTTCTAGTTTTCCTCGTCGCCCCTATCCGAGAAAAGTGGTTCTGCTGTTTTATTTGAAACTTCGAAACCATCATACAGAACGAAACTAGAGATGTGTAGGATGCCTGCAAGAGCCTCAAAATTCATAGAAAAACTTTTGAAAATGCGTGAACCACTCATGTTGTTTATTAACTAGACACCTTATGTATGCTGATTCTCTCTATATCCGGTTTCAAAACAGTCAATCGTTTCAAGTCTAAACGAATACTCGGCCGGTGTGACGCAGGAACCTGGGTATTCATCAACATACCCAGCCTTGTACCGAAAGCATTTTTAAAGAATTAGAAGCGTGGTGTACGAAGCATTCGATATACTTGTGAAAGAACCTGAGTATATTATCTCTCTGTATCATATTAAAGTTCACAGCGTTCAACATGGCTCTAGTTTCGATCCTCTTCATAACATTTTTCAAGAAACCGAGGAAAGAGACGTCCAACTGCTGACGTCCAATGGCTGATTCATTGACGTAGCACCGGTGGGAAGAATGTGCATTGAACATTTTTTAGTCTTTCCATCAATGTTGAGTTTCTTGCAGGCATCTTACTTATCTCTAGTATCTTTCTGTCTAATGATCCCTGAAGTTTGAAATAAAACAGAGTCTTACTGCAAAACCACTTTACTTGGATAGGGGCGACGAGGGAAACAAAAGCAAAAATAAGGCGATCACTTGAATAAATGTTAGAAAAGTTCTAGAGAGCATTCCATGAAATGAAAAAACACTTTGCAAAAGTGCCGGCGATGGTGGGTAGCAAACCCGCGCCCTACGCCTATAAAGCAAAGACCACTACCACAAGGCAACATCGGCGCTTGTTATCGGAACGAGGAGTTCGTATTTCTAATTGATACTACTGTCAAGCAAATTTCGAGCCTCCATTACTTTTTAAGGAGAACCATTATGCAGTTTCAGTTTCCACCACATGGGCTACGCACCACGTGCTACCGCTTACCTACGACTTGTTAGAGAACCAATATGAACAGTATCGGNGGGTATACAATCGATATCCAAAATGTGCTGATGCCTACGCCTTTGATTAGAATCTGTCTGTCTCGATCTGTCGCTGTTGATGTTAAAAATAATGACCCATTGAAGATTTAATAGGTAGGCATTCAAAGCCTTGAGTGGTACTCACAAATGTTGTCGAGCCATAATAATTCATAATAATACCATTATCAGATGTCTTCATGAAAGTAGCTCCTTTTCTCTATGGATGCATCATTAAATGAGAATCCAAGATTGTTTGCGGTCGGATAAGTTTTGCCATAAATGATATCAAAGCAGAGAGCAACCGTGATTCTTCATTGATTCGCAAACTTCGCTGGGCAGCGGTCGTAAGCAAGAAGTGAAAATTTTTATAATCGGTCCCTATCAGCGCACTTACCAGTTAGCCTTCTTGTCAAATAAAACATATCAAAAAATCACAGCTAAATCGTAAATTACAAAGGCGGTGGGATTCGACTGGTGATTGGATCTTGTTCTCTAGGCCTCCTCTATCATCAATGTTCCTATCCTGCCCCCTCTACTCCTACTGATTTTGCCCTCAAAGTCCACAGGTTCAGGAGCTGTTTATTTTCGCTCAGACCCCCCTGTGCACGGAGTCCGGTCCTACTACCCACCAAGTGTTCGCATACTGCCGCCTATCTTCCTACCAAGTTTGAACGCCCTAGACCCAATTCGCGCACACTCCGCCTTCTAAGGATGGGACCCGATCTTGCCACCCACCATTAGTGTTCTCACCCTGCCTCCGGTACTTTCTAATAAATTTGAACTTTCTAGGTTCACAGGGATAGGAGTTATGATTTTCCGATGAAACATTTATTTCGTAAAAACTCCGCCTCCTGTGGGAGGAGTC